CCCACTCCTCTTGGGACTGACCATGTCTCTCACCTCTACACTCCTCTTGGTGTATTTGTATAATACAAAGTGAATCCTCACAATTAAGCTCGCTAACAACAAATGATTTGTTCTCTTAACAAGATGATAACACAATATAAGCTCACTCTCAATGTTACAAACCCACAACCCCAAATTATACTATGAATGTAAATACAATAAGCTCAATAGGTTGTGTGTGAACAAATTATACTATGAATGTAAATACAATAAGCTCAATAGGTTGTGTGTGAACAAAGAGTATCAACAAAACAATTAAACTCAATATATGTAAATACAATAAGCTCAATAGGTTGTGTGTGAACAAAGAGTATCAACAAAACAATTAAACTCAATATTAAAATCTAGCTTATGGAAATTAGAATCAAAACAATAAATAGCTGAAATTGAGTTTAAGGAAACTTCCCTATCGATAATAAAATAGAGGAGAAGAGTGAATGCTCAAACATCAAAGGATGATCTTCTCTATGCTCTTGTGAAAATTTCTTCACAAACTAAACTCAAACAAACTCTTAAACTCTTTTAAACAAAACTTAAACCCTTGTAAAACTTGTTCAAAACATTCTTCGATTACCTTCAGAAGTTAGAGGGTATGGGGTATATATAGGATCATAAGACAAAGCTGAAAAACCCAAGAAATGCCAGCAAAAAGACAAATAATGGTAACATGAAAATCTAGAAAAACTAATCGTTTTGCCGTCGGTTGACTGATTAGTCTACTGATGAGCTAACCATTACAGGGAACTGACAGCTCATCGGTCGACTGAAGAACATGAAAAGTCGACTGATGAACTCATCAGTCGACTGGTCAGTCGACCAGAATAAAACATAAACTTTTGTTTATTCTAGGCGATTTCTTTAATCTACTGAACACATGTATCAGTCGGCTGATAACACTTTATCAGCCTGTTTTGAACAGTAAAACTGATTTTTAAACTCCTTTTAAAAATAGCAAATAAAATCAAAAAAATATAAATCTTTGGAAAATGATTGTAAACATGATAATAATCATGTTACAAAAACTGGTTTTGAAAAAGCACCTCCCATTTGTAAAATATCATCATTTTACAAATATGTCCAAAACATGAAAATACAAAACACATGTTTTTGATATTTTAGCTAAATCATGTTTTGAAACTTTACAAAATGATTTTATAGACTTAATAAGAGATGTATACAGTGAATGTTAAGTCTATAAACAATAATACATTACTTTCACAAAAATGTATATGTAATACAAAACACATTTGTTTTTCCAAAAACAATAGATTATGAAACATGTGAAAGTGTATATGAATATAACTATTGTTTCATATCTAGAAAGCTAAACTAAAACAAAACAATAAATATGAAATATGTAATTTCATATTTATATAAACATGAAAACCAAAACATGTATATATGTATATATAACTATATATATACATAGAAAACAAAATGTATGTGTGTGTGTGAGAGATATTGAGCTTAAAGTACCAACGCACATAATATAACACCTAAACTATTTTACCCAAGCTTGTGATCTTCAACGAAGCTCTTTCTTGGTAACATGGACGAAGCTTGAACTTGGATTTTCAACTTGAATTGTAAGGTTTTACTCTACTATTTCTGCCAACCTCCATTTGATATGATCGTTGTGACGTAATCCATCCAACTTCTAACATATTGTTTGTCTACAATAAATACAAAAACACAAACACTTGACAATAATATTAGTAGTAAATTGTTTGTTAAATATCATCAAAACAAAAAGGCCAACATTCTTTACTTCTTAGTTGGGATCAATGATTAGCGATACATAATTGAGACATATGATATATACATGAGGTTTTCCTTATTTGGATTATTTCGCTTGACGTACCAGTCTCGTGTTGTAGATTTCTAATTGTTGATTTAATTAGATTATCTATTCTTAGTTCGGTATTAATGTTTAGATATCTACAATTTGAGACAATGGTATATACATGAGGGTTTCCTTATTTAGATTATTTCGCTCGACGTACTACGTCTCGTGTTGTAGGTTTTTAAATGTTAATTCTACTTAGATACAGGGAAAATGATTCTAGGTAGATTATACTTATAGATAGAGCCTCCAATCCATCTAGTAGCCCTTCCCCTGGGGGCGGAAGGAGGTGATATTGCTGTAGCGCTCTGACGCTCTTTATGTGGTTTTTTTTCTTTTCTCTTCTTTCAGGCAGTACAGAGATACGGAGAGACCCAGAATGACGGAGTTCTTGCATAGACACCGTCACATAAGTTTTTAGAGGCTCCACAGTAGATTTTATGTTTTATTCAGACACTAGAGTTTCATTCTTATTTTGTAAAGACAGTGTGTCTTAGTACAATTCTAGTTGATTCATGTTGACATTCTCATTATTTTAGTTATTGGATGTATTACAGTTGAGACATGATTTTTTTTATTTATGAGATATCTTTTCTATATCGTGTCTATTAAATTTATTCTCTTATCTTTTCTGTTTGTACATGTACTTCTATTTGATTCTACTAGAGGATATTGTTGTGATTGGTAGAACGTATTTATGCACAGTGTAGGTTTATGGTAGGTTTGACATCTCTGGGTTCACCTTGGACTGAAGCCTTGTATGAAACTAGTAGCGTCACATATGTACTATAAAGACTGTTGAGGACAGAGAAATGATGGCACTGATTATGCATTTAATGAAATTTATTGTGAGATGAACAACTGCCAGTGCGTAGGAGGGAGCTCAAGGATCGGGGTAGTCGTTACCTTTCTACTTGTCCGGTAGAAGGTCGAGAAGTATCGTATTTTGAGTTGTCTTCACGAGATGTCGGCCGAATGATAAGTCAAGTAGGTTGATCAAGAAGTCGACCTAGCCAGGGGTCGACATGTAACGCCTTTTGGGTCATCCTCATGAGATGTTGTCGCGTCAAGTCATCTGAGCTGGGTCTTTGGTTATCTTGAAGTGAAGAGCTGGCTCAATTATATATAATATGCGGCACTTGTCTGCTATTGATTGAAAGTTACTTTTTAGGACTAAAATGGCTATAACACTATCCTTTCGGATTATCATGCTATACTTTCAGATTATCGTGCTATACTTACATATTATCCCGCTATATTTTTAGAGTATCTCGCTATACTTACATATTATCAGATTATCCTGCTATACATGCATATTATTATGCTATACTTTCAGTTATCACGTTATACTTTCAGATTATCCTGCTATACTTACATACTAGAAAACTGAGAAACCTGAGTTGCAAAAAGAATATAAGGAGGCAAAACTTGTTATGATGGACCATTTTTACATCACATAAACACTATCTTTCATTTTAGAGAGCCCAATTATACAAACGTTGAGCAAGCTAATAGCAATCAACTACAAAACAACCAATAAGCAAGAGAGCTAATCCTCGATATCTACACTATGATTAACAAAATACAAGAGGGTCCTTGTAATATGTACAAAATCTAATCTAACTAATACTAGCCACTAAAAAGTCCTTCCAATCTGCGTTGAACCCAAATCTAATGTGAAGGCCTTTATCCTTTGGATCTCTCAAGTTCCTAATGAAAAGGAACAAACAACCAAAAGCTTATGATTTTTCAAGGCCCTGCCAAAGCACATTGGATAAAATTCTAACTACTTGCATAATAAACGAGCTACCATTGAGATCAAAATACATGCACATGCAATAAAATAAGAACATAACAACTAACATAGATGGACCTTTTTTGAAGATTACACATCATACAAAATATTCTTATACGTGACAATTAATTAATCAATTGTCTAAATGAGTTAAGTATATTACAGGTGTTATTATTACAATTGTGCCAATTAGTATTACCACATCACTAAGCTAACTCCTAAACATCAAGACAAATTTAGGCAAGTTGCTATCTAAAACAATCCACAAAATCTTTCAGATGAATAATTGATTCTTGTAAAACAATCTTATAATTTATAATAACAAAATAAAACAAAAACAAGAAGAAATCTTGTTCGGCTCTCTCTCCCCCCTTAATGTTAGTCCACAAATTTCTCACATCTTTGTCTCAGTATCAACAACTGACCCTTTCTTTGTCAAAATCCTACCATGACCACTCTTGTTGGTAATTCTCAACTCTATTTGTCTTCTCTCCAATCTCTCCACTTGCATTCTCATCTCTCTATTAATACTAACCTCAGCATCAAACCCCACCACAAAACCCAAAAGTTTCGGATAATAATAAAAATGGAGAAGCCTGGAGAAGTATGGAAATCAGAGTTTGCATTGGAGAAGGCGGTTGCAGGTGGTCAGAAGAGGCATTGGAGAAGGAGGTGGCCAGCATTTAGGAGAGGAACCAAAGGAGGTGGCAGTAGGCAGGCAAACCACTTAAGGTGAAGAACTGCTGGAGAAGGTGCGACAGTAATGTGTGGAACCAATTGGGTGAAATATTGGGGAAGATTATGGGTTTGAGGTCTAATTGGGGGAAAATTTTGGCCACAATGGGATTTTTTTGCTTAGAGCTTAGAGACGAGATGTTGAAGAAGATGATGGATTTTTAACTAGGTTAGGACTTGGAGACTAGATGTAGAAGAAGAGGAGTAATTTTTTTTTTTTTTTTTTTTGCATTTTTCGGTTTGGGTTGAGAGAGGAGAACGGAGAAGAGGAGAGATAATTACAGATTTATGTGGGATATTGATAGGGGTATTTTGGGGCTTTTACTATGTTAATGTATAAATAAAAGATACTCTACCTATAAATTATACAATTTGGGTTTAAAGGCAAATACAAAAGGCTGATTGGGTTTAAAGATACAAGTAAAAGATGTTTTTTTGGTCAATGAAGTAATTTTATTCATTTACCAAAATGGGAAGTATATGTACATCAGATATTCAGTATATGAACTAAAAAATCAATCAAGAAAACAACAGAAAAAAGAAACTAAGGTCAGCTAAGTATATACAATAGCTTTATAAAGATATAAGTCATTCTTTCTTATCTGCTGGATATGGACCATTCAAGATGATAGTCATGATATCAACTTTGATTTCTCTTATAATCTGCTCAACACTCCTGTTCTTCGATTTGAAAAATCTGCTGTTGCGCTCCCTCCATAACCTGTAGATTATTGAAGCTAGTGCCATTCTTTTCACTCTTTGTTTAAATCCTCGACATCTTAGCCTGTAAACAAACCAATCTATCAAAAGATTCCAGTCATAAGCCCTCCAACCGAATTGAAGCCACCCCATGATCCCATTCCAAACTGCATTCACAAAGCTGCAATCGAAAAAGATATGGTTTCGGGATTCCAGAACTGCATCATTGCATAGACTACAGAGGCCAGAGTTAATGACTCCTCTTTTGAGCAGTCTATCTCTTGTAAGAAGCCTGTTTTGCACAGCTAGCCACAAGATGAAACAATGTTTTGGGTAGCTCAAGTTATCTCATACTGTTGTGAACCATGGTATCTTAATAGTAACTGGGGAAATTTTTGAATATAGCTCAGATAAGCACACTTTTGAATTCCTATGACAGGAGCTGATAATTTGCTTCAAAACATCAACCCTTCCACAACTGGCAATCATCTTATCTTTGACTCTGAGCAGTTGCTTCCATAACCAAGAATCCCCTTTTTTCACTGTAACTTGCCAAATTGATGTATCTTTTAGATAATTGTCGTGGATCCATTTTATCCACAGTAACTCTTTATTTGTATGTATGTACCATATGGTTCTTAATGCAGTGACTATGTTCCATGTCTTTGCTGAGAATATCCTCAATCCTCCATATTTCTTCTCCTTGAAAACTTTATCCCAAGCTACTAGCAGGGATTTTAAAGCCTGATCTGTTTTGCCCCATAAGAAATATCTACACAAATCATCAATCTTCTGCAGCACCTTTGCTGGTAATATGTAATTAGAAGTCCAAAAAATTTGAACACCCAATATAACAGTCTTGATAACATGAAGTATTCCAGCATATGATAGGTGCCTATGTTTCAACCAGGTTTGAAATTGGCTAGAAATTTTCTAGAAAAGAGGAGTGCAATCAACATATGACAATCTTTTGCAAATTAAAGGAACACCAAGATACCTTATAGGTAAGACGTACTCCTTCAGGAACAAGTAAAAGATGTTGGGTTTATAGATAAATTAGGGTAAATTTTTCGGCCTAGAAATAAAACCCCCTTATTAATATTAGGTCAACGGTCAAGATCTAGTTTATACTCCCCAACCACAAGAATTTGACATCGATCGATTTCCTTTGTAAAATAAAATTAGGATCAATCCTTGTTGCATTTTGAGAAGCTGCCAAACAAATACTAAGATTATCGCATCCTAATCTTATATATAAATATACAAGGAAATGCATGATATAGGGCTCATTCATCAATATTAATAGGGACGACCGCAAGTAGATAGAGATTGAGGCAGACATTCAAGAGCTATCTGCAGTCTATCTGCTTATCCTCCAAAGCGTGCCGGGCTACATGATGGAAGCTGCGTCTAAGCTTCTTAGACCTACGAAGCTTTGCATGTGAAAAGGCTACGAGTTTGTCCGCCCAAAAAATTGAGGGAGGAAAGCAAAAGATTTGTCTAAGTTTTGGACCATGATGGGATGTGTGCTACCACAAGGCCCACTTTGAGCGAAGGAATGAAAGGTGCTTCCAAGTTCAATGCATTTGAATTATTTTCTTCTAGTTTGAGGCTTGACGGTGCCAAACATCCTCAAGGTTCCACTGACATGGTCATGCCTCATTGGAAAATATGCCTTTGGCGAGTGACAATCATGGCATGCCAGAAGTAGTTGCCTTTGGATGCATGGTTGAGAGAGAAAGAGAGGCTTATACTGTTTTTACAGTAGTGCGATGGACATATATAAATTAATGATATAATATATATGTGAAATTCGTAGAATATGGAATCATAAATCTTCATGTTGATCATTGTTAGAATATAAAAGAACAATCCTAAATTTTCACCATAATTTTAGAGTTTTACTGTGATGTCAGGTCTTTTGATAGAGCAGCCTAGGCTCAAATCTTGCTCGCTACAATTTTGTAACAGATTTTAACTTTTGATGAAGTTTTGCTTGAAAAGGATCCTCAACTTGCGGGAGCGTGTTTGAATATAAAACTAACGCAAAATTCCTACTATAACTTTTTGGTTTTAATGCAGTAACAGTGAAGTTAAGAATCTTGACTCTGAAAATTTAAAGTAGTGTAATAGAATATAATATGATACGATAGAATCCAGATTTAAATCCCATGAGACATGCCAAGTGTAGTTTCTAAGATAAGATATTGCTTCATAAAACAATTCATTTATTAATTATTAACGAAAAGAATGCCCTCACATCACAACTTTTCAACTTTAGATTTAGTGGAAGAGTTTATAAAAGTTCTCAATTTGTTGAAATCTAGAGCATGTATCCTAGCTAGATTAAAGGAGCAATTGGTAATGAAAGTCACTCCTTGCGTAATATTAGTTGCATCTGCTATACATATTGTCTATCTATATATTTTACTTGAATTTATGATCAAATGAAGATGACACATGACATGTTAGCACATGTTTAATGCCATGATATTTGGTTTCGGAATGAAGTTATGTCTTCTGATGCCACCAATTTGATTGAGTGGGTAAAAATGCCGACAGGCCGCTAAAGTTTTGAATTCCCTCCTGTTCACCTAGATGTGGGCTGGATTAATTAAGGTGAGACCCAACTACATCCGTTGGGTTTTCTTAATTTGATTTAAGTTTGAGGTTTCTCGAGAGGCTTCTTTGGCAGTTCCTTTCAGATGACGGCGCGCCAACTTTTTGAGTCTGAGATGTAGTACCTTTTGGTGCTCTTGAGCATGTCCAGAGTTTGAACTCGGATTTATGCTCTTATGATGTGCTGTTTATTCGGGGATTATTTGATAAAACTAGGACTATTGTTCAAGAATCATATATTCTAAGATTAGAATATTCTGGTTAGCGTACTATTGAATTTTTTTAAAGGATTTTTAAACTTTTGAACGAAGTTTTGGATTGAGTTTTAAATACTATTAACAAGCATGACTATTCTTTCATCAAAAACCATAATTATTATTTCATTAATATTTTTTGATGATTACAGTTTAAGATTAAAATTTTGCTACTAATTTGTATATTTCACTATATAAACATTAAATATAATTGAGAATTTTGTCAAGCATTCAATATAAATATCACATTACTTAGTATTTAATATTTTTATGATTCAACATATTAAATATTAATTATATTGGATATTACCTATTTGCTATATTTATTATCTAATATTTAAATAAATATTAAATATATAGGTATTAATATAAGTTGATATAAATTATTAATACATTTTATATCAAATATGTTGGAGTATTAAATGTCTATTATTAATTATTAAAGCTACAATATGGTTAAATAATAATAGATATAAAGAATACTTAATTTCAAATTATTAAATATATTTAAGGAAGTTGGATATTAAAACTAAATAAATTTAAATACAAATAAATTAAATATCTAAATATATATATATATATATAATAGTATATATATATATATACTAATATTATATATATATATATAAGCCATTTAATATTTCTTACAATAATTTCTCAAATATTACTTACATTTAATATTCACATATTTACTATATTTCTTATTTAATATTCAAAAACATTATATATATTTAATATTAATATTAAATATTTAAATAGTTTATATATTTAAGATATGATAAATAATAAATGTATTCAATATTTAAAAATAATACATTATATTAGACATATGAAATGACTAATATCTTAAGTATAAAATGATTAGATAATATTAATATTTATTATATTTCATTTTAATGTACGTAACTATATTTAAATATTTAATTTAAAATAGTTAAAACTTAATATATTTTATATTTTATTAAATGACTATATAATATAAATATTAAAATTCTGAACTAGAAATATTTTGTAAATATTAGTAAATAGTGTTTTTTCTTTCAATATGGACTCATTAAAGGAGTGGGGGGTGTTTAGGGTGGGTGGAGGGGGGGGGGCGGGGACGAGGGTGCTCGAGCGGCGGCATGGAGAAATCCTAAGGAAGATGATCTCAATCCTCTAATTTTGACGTGGACATTTTCCAAGAATTTTTCCACTAGAATGTATATAAAAAGATTGGAATTTGAATTTTAAAATACTACTCCTAATCATATATTTTTCCACTAGAATAGCATTTTGAAGTTAAATCATCTCCAAAAAAAAGTTCTAGCCTAAAAAAAAATTCTTTAACCGATAGCCACCCTAATAAGAGCACATCCTACAAGGAATGAAATGGACTGGTGCCAATTCCCTCAACAGTCTATTCCCAAGAGCTCATCTTCTTGCTTTGTCCAAGACCTGCAATATTCTTTCGCAAGGATCTATGCTCCCTAATGCTTGGTAGTGGCATCCATTATTAAGAAGAGGTATTTTCCAGGATGTAAGGAATGAAATCTCCGCTCTTCTTACCCATCTTGATCAATTCTCTATCTTTGGCTACACCAACCACGACAAGCTCCTCTGGCCCTACCACTCTTCAGGTACATTCACAGTTAAATCTTTTTATACCCTTATCACCACCGGATGTGTCACCTTCCGACACTTCAGATTCATATGGGCCTCTCCCATACCCCTAAAGGTTAAAGTCTTTTTTTGGTTTGCTAGCAAGTACTAATTAAAACACCAGGGATAATTTGGTGTACAAAGGATGGTCTGGCAATCCAATGTGCCCTCTCTGTAATGATGCTAATGAATCCCATGACCACCTGTTAATTAAATGTGCTCACTCTTCTTTAGCATGGTCTTCTCTCCTTCCCCATGTTCCATCAACAGCATGGCCACATAACATGGATGATATGATATCTTCCAATCCCAGATCATCTTTCAGTCAAAATCTTGCTATTATTTGGAAGGTTTTGCTCCTGTGCTTCTCCTGGTGCATATGGAACTGCCGTAACAATTTTATCTTTAATGGCATTAAAGCTCCTCCCTCTCACATCGCTGCTAATGTGGCTAGATTCGTTTTATTTTGGACAAGCTCCTCTGCTAGCAGATCAGGTCTCAAGCTCCACAAGGCGGCTATCAACCTGGGCATGAAGAATATTGCTCAAACTCACAATGAAGCAGAGGTGGCTAACAACTTTTCAGCAGCAATCTGATTCCAGCTTAGCTACTGCTGGATATTTTGGTTGGTGTCCTAAATGTTAGTTATGATGAAGTTGTACTCTTTGTGGTTTTTAGTTTTGTACTGTGTTGTTTTCTGGGTTTTTGTTTGGGGTCCTGGTTCTTTCCTAGTCTCTCAACATAGGCCGATTATGTATATTATTTTATTACCAACATATATATATGGGGCGGCTCTCTGGTGGAAGTTAGCAGGCGATTTTCCTGCTAACCTGCGTCCCCGCCGAGGTTTGAAAAATGGCAAAAAAGAAAGGAAAAAATAGGAAGAAAATCCTTGAAATTGGATTAAGATCGTCGAATTCAAGCTTCTCTCCATCTGAGGATCATGCTGATGCTGGATTTGATGAAGATGATGAAGGATCCACATCGGATCTTATGGGTTCAACTGGACCTAAGGGAGAAAAGAAAAAAGTTCTAATGGCAGATCTTCTAAATTCTGATCCACTTTCATCGCAGCAAGCTGGCTAGAAATCTCATCGGAATCTTGTTGCAAGTGATTCCTCGAAGATTTCTTGGGTTGAGGATATAGCTTCAACTGATAATCTTCCACAGCGGCATCAGTTCTTGAATTCAGCATGTAATTCTGTTAAAAATCTTGATTACTCTGTGATTTCTGCAAGGAATCAAGATTGTCTTACTCCGCAAGTGATTGTTGGATCTCGTGCCTCTTTGGGGTCTCGATCTGGTACTGGTGGATCTGGTAAGGTTTCTTGGGCTGATGAAGTTGAATTTGCTCGTGATCAGTTAAATTTGAATCCTGCTAGTTCATTGGATGCCAATATTCAAAGTAATCTGATTTCTCTACTGGACGATTCCTCTGTTCCTATTAAGAATAATTTCAAGAATCTAAATGACAAAAATGAGAGCTTAAAGGATGCTGGAAATCTGGATTCCTCTGATAAGAATGATATAAATAATGAAGGAAATCTGGTTATTGATTCTGGAAATGTCAAGAAAAGTTGGATTAGCCTATTTGCTGATAATAGGAAAACTGGTTGTGGTTTGAACTTAAACTTTGTGAAGCCAGAAAATAATGATTTTGTGTCATTTAGTGAGGAGGAATGGAATGAAGGTAATTCTAACTGGCAATTCTCTTTAATTGGTAAAGTGCTTGGTTTAAATGTCAAATACAAAGCTATGGAAAATTATGTACACAAAGTCTGGGCTAAATGGACTGCCCCAGATTTGTGCTTACTCAAACCTAGACTGTTCTTGTTTAAATTCCAAAGCAAAGAGCAAATGGAGGACATACTTGTGAATGGCCCATGGTTTTTTGGCTCTAGACCTCTTTTGTTAAAAATATGGTCCAATGATGATGATATTGATAAGATTGATGGAAGTGTTTATCCTTTGTGGATTTAATTGCCAGGACTAAGGTTAAATCTGTGGAGTTCAAAGGCTATAAGCAAAATTGCAAGTCATGTGGGTAAACCTGTTGCCACTGATAAGCTCACTGCTAGTAAGCAAAGGTTGGCTTATGCTAGGGTTTTGGTTGAAGTCCATATGCCCTCCTCTCTTCCAGACTCTATTCCTATACATGGACCTAATGGTCAAGTATATAATCAAAAAGTGATCTATGAGTTCAAACCTAAATGGTGTGATAGTTGCAAAATTGTGGGGCATGATACTAATTTCTGTAAAAAGCATCCTAAGATTCAGAAACGGGTACCTAAGACTAGTGCAGGAATTTCTGACAAGTTTATTCATACACATAACCAGCATGAGGATCAGATACAAAAAAGCCCTTGTAAACTTGTGCATGCTGTGCATGTTAAGGCACAATCAGCAAATGTTGCTGGATCTCTTCCTAAGTTGTCTGAAGGTGATGAGAATCTGAAGAGTAATCAGATAAGCAAAAGCTCTAGCAAGTCTGTGCATGATGTGCATGTTCAGGCACAAACTGCAAATGTTGCTGTTGAAGACACTAGTCTGCCTGGGGCATTTGAGAGCTTTACTGAATCAACTTCTAAAAATAATGTGTATGTTTAGGAGCTTGAGCTGGAGGGTTTTTCTAGTAGGGATAATGTTCAGGCATTTTCTGCTGGAAAAATTAAAGGCTTGGCTGATAGCAGTAAGTATCCATCAGGGAGTAAAGCTGTGCAGGCTGTGCATGTTCAAGAATTTGGTTTTGTTGGATCTAATAAAGGCAAAAGTTTGCAGTCCTCTAAAACATGGTCTGGTATGCAAAATACTGGTCTGAAAGTCTTTCCAGGATTGGAGAACTCTTTCTATCATCTCAATAATCTAATTGATGATCCCTCTACAATAGATAGGGGGGACTACAAGATTATGAACTTTTCCTTTTGGAATATTAGAGAGCTAAATAAGTCCTCTAAACAACATTTGGTCAAGATCCATATTCAGCAATACCATTTATCCTTTATGGCTCTCATTGAAACAAAAATCAAAGCATGCAAGATCCCTATTATAGCAAGGAAAATTGCTTGTAATTGGAAATGGTGTTCAGATGTTATCAACTCTTTCAAAGCTAGAATATTGATTTTATGGGATCCAAATACTTTGGACATCCAAGTTGACAGTTACTCTCCTCAGCATATTACTTGCCTAGTTAAATCCATAGATGGGAGAATAGACTGTTTTATCTCCTCTATATATGGATATAATCAAATTGAGAATAGGAAAACTCTTTGGCTTGAATTAAGGCAAATTCAACATAGAGTTGGTAATAAGCCTTGGATTCTCAGTGGTGATGGGAGAATTAAGGCAAATTCAACATAGAGTTGGTAATAAGCCTTGGATTCTCAGTGGTGATTTCAATGCTATATCTGATGATGAGGACAAATTAGGTGGAGCTATGGTTACTGTGGCTGAAACACTGGATATCAGAGAATTCATTGATGACTGTCAACTTACTCACTTGAAAACTGAAGGGTGTTTCTTTACTTGGAACAACAAACAAGAGGCAAATTCCAGAGTATGGAGTAGACTTGATAGAACTCTGGTCAATGATGCTTGGATTAATCTATATAACTCTAGCCATGTTGAATATTTGCTACCCAATTGCTCCGATCATTCTCCTGCATTGGTGTCAATATATGATGAATGTGTCCAAGGGAAAAAACCTTTCAAATTTTTCAATATGTGGAGCAAGCATGATGATTACTTACCCACTGTGACTTCCATCTGGCAAGGGAAAATTCCAGGCTGTATCATGTTTTCAGTGACCAGTAAATTGAAGCTCCTGAAAATAGCTCTCAAAGACTTAAATAAGAAAAAATTTCACAATATATCTGAGCAAGTTATCAGAGCAAGGATAAATCTACAGAATGCCCAAAAGTATTTACAATCAGATCATCTTAATGCTGACTTGATTGAACAGGAAAAAAAATACATGCTCACTTACAATAAGCTGCTGGAGTGTGAAATTTCTTTCTATCAACAAAAATCTAGGATTCAATGGTGTACTCAAGGGGACAGGAGTTCAAGTTTTTTTCACTCAGCTGTCAAAGCTAAAAGGCATCTCAATAGAGTTAATGTTCTCTATGATAGTGCAGGAAACAGAATTACTGATGGTGACTTAATCATTCAGGAGCTACTTGAGTACTACAAGCAACTATTGGGTTCAAGCACAATTCTAGTCAAGTCTGGTAGTAATGTCATTCACAGTGGTCCATGTTTAAATGATGCTCAAATAAATTTCTTATCTTCAGCTGTGACTAGAGATGAAATTAGACATGCTGTCTTCTCAATGGATGATAGGAAAGCTCCGGGCCCTGATGGATTTGGTATATCCTTCTACAAGTCAGCTTGGTGCATTATTGGCGATGAGGTATCTGAAGCTATTCTGGAATTCTTTAAAACAGGTAAAATTCTGGGCATGATAAATTCTACTGCCATCACTTTGATTCCAAAAGTGAAGTGTCCTAAGACCCCATCAGACTTCAGACCTATAGCTTGTTGCAATAGTCTCTACACAATTATTTCCAAAATTCTGGCTAATAGGATCAAATCTGTGATGGGATACTTAATTAATGATAGCCAGTCTGCATTTGTTAAAGGAAGACAAATCTCTAGCAACATCCTTCTTGCAAATGAGATTGTGAAGAACTATAACAGGAAGCATATCTCTCCTAGAATTATGTTGAGTATTGATATCAAAAAAGCCTTTGATACTGTTAACTGGGATTTCCTAAATGAGATGTTAAAAGGCCTTGGATTTCCTGTCAATTTCATCAACTGGATCATGGTTTGCATTTCAACTCCTAAATTCTCTCTATCGTTAAATGGTACTCTTCATGGGTATTTCAAAGGCAAGAGGGGTCTAAGGCAATGTGATCCTATCTCTCCATACTTATTCAATTTGGGTATGGAATTTCTCTCAAGAAGGCTGGACTTGCTTAAGGAGAATAGATCATTTAAGTATCATCCAGGATGCGGTAAGCTTAAAATATCTCATCTTATGTTTGTTGATGACCTTCTACTCTTCTCCAAAGGAGATTCTCATTCAGTGGAGCTGCTCCTCAATTGTTTTAAAGACTTTTGTACTGTGTCTGGGCTTGAAGCAAATCCAGACAAATGCAAAGTATTCTATGGAGGAGTTGATGATAGCACTAAAGGATCTGTTAACAGGCTCTTAAATTTTAATGAGGGAGTCTTTCCTATCAAATATTTGGGAGTTCCATTAATATCCAAAAGAATATCCTTCAACGATTGAACAACATAGCAGGTCATTTTCAGTCCAGTTTGAAGAACAGACTGCTTTCATATGCTGGCAGATTGTAGATTATTAGAAGTATCATTCTGGGCATTCAAACCTACTGTAGGCATATAAAATTGCTTATAGGTCCCTTAGCACAGCTCGGCACAAACCGACAAACCAACGAGGCAACGAGATTGACTAATCGCACGCAAGCAACGGAATACGTCCATTCGCGTGCGGGATCAAGCCAAGTGTTCGAAGAGTCAACGAGTCATCCAACCAAGGGCATACTCGGACGAATCACGATCGAATCAAGATCGGTTTCGGACTCAAACTCAGAAGTGGATTTACTGTCTAATCGGGATCCGGATTTACTGCCAAATCAGATCAACGAATCAAGTCTGGATAAATCAACCGCAGAACCGAATCACAGATAGAACCAAGAGTGGAAAACGACGGAACAACACACCCGGAGGGGCTCGGCTCAAACCGAGCCACCTCAAGGTGGCTCGGCCCAAGCCGAGCTTTTGGAGAGAGGCGAAGCCCTGCTGGATTGGAGACTCAGAACTTAACAAGATTCAAGCTTTGGGACTTCGAGGACTTGCACATCCAGATCTGGTGCTCGACGATCATCAACGCCAAATAAGGCAGGAGTTCGAGAGGACCGGATCTCAGATCTACGTTGCTACACTCCGGATCTAAGCTTGGTCTTAGATCCCGAGACTTGGACGATTGTTTCCTTGGTGAAACAATCCTCCCCGGCTATTATTTCCTTGGTGAAATAATACCCGTTGTACTGCGTAGATCCGACCGGATCTAGATCGCGCGGTGGTCCACGGATTAACCCCGGCGTTGGCAAAGAACCCACACAAGCGAGCGACCGCAAAACAGGAGCTCGTGATTCGTTCGACAAACAAGGAAACAAAGTTGTAATTTTCATTTCTTTTCAATTTGATTTTCGTTGTAACCGGATCTTATAAAAAGACCGGATCTTTGTAATCGATAGACTATTACAAGAGTGTACAATGGAATCATTAATGAAGAAAGCCACAATTTTTCCCGTGAACAATCTGGCGACCACAGTGGGAGCCGACGATCTCGCCGACGAGATCGATGCGTCGCAGCCGCGGATCTCAATCCCGGTCGTGGAGGAGGTCGAATACGAGTTCGATCAGACCAAGTTCGAGGAGTACCTTTCATCCTCGTCCAGATCTACCTCCCCCCGCAAGTCCAAGAAGTCCAAGTTCTCCTCCAGGAGAAAGGTTCGTTGGTATGAAGAAGTCGAAGCCACCAACGAAGATCTCGCCCCGTTTGATGCCAAAGTCGCATCGGGTGAGATTCCTCCAGTTTCCAACCAGGTCAGATCTGCTCTGGCCAACCCTTCTGCCGCAGGGGGCGTGGTGACTCTCTCGAAGAGAGCCCGCCAAAGGCAACGTCAACGCCTTGCGAAACGATTCGCAAAGGCCATGGAGTCAGTTGACGGGATCCGCTACAACGTGGATCTAAAGAACAAGAGAGGCAAACAGCCTCAACAACAGATGAACGGCACCTCTTCCAAGCCGCCAACAATGGAATGGATCCGTGTCAAACGGAATCGTTCGACGCTGGAAGAACGCATCCGCAAACGCCGCACACTATCAGCGCAGGCACGGGCTCAAGTCGAAGAAGCCCGTAGAAAGCTGCAGAAAGAGGTAGCCAAGAAGCCGCCACCAACTCGCAAAGTTTGGAGGCCAAAGTCTGAAGCGGCGGTTCAGACCAAAAAGCAGCAACTGCAGCCTCCAACCAAAATTCAACCTCCGGCGAACCAAGCTAAGTCGCCGAGAATTCCCATAGCTACTCCGGGAGATCATGCAGAATCCTCCCGAAGGAGAAAGTCAGTCTTGGAGCGCCTCGGTCCACTTCCCGAGGAGCGAAGCAAAGCTCCAATCCAAGAACGTTTGGACCCACTACGAAAGCCCCAAACAACGCAACATGCTGGGGGTCGCCCCAAGCGCACTACTTTGCGCATTGAAGTTCGGGAGCCCGTTGAGGATTCACGCCCACAAAGGCGCGTTTCGAGACGCGTGACTCTCGAAAGCCCGAAGAAGGTAATTCGCTCTCAGAAGGAAACGTTATCGTCTGATGATGATTACGTTATACCTGAGAAATCGTGCCAACACACGATAGGTTGCTCTGACTTTCAAACTGACGAGCTGTACTATCGTGCTGGGGGTACGAGCAAAGCCAGAAAGAGAAGTCCTCGAAGGCTAGAAACTCAGTGCCCTTGTTCAAAGCTCATTCGGGCAGTACTGTCTGAATGCAACTGCATCAAGGCAGTCCCCGAGAGAATTTCAGTGTTCGAAAGGCTCAGCACCGAAACGTCAAAACCAAGGCATAGGCGCTTCCGGCAAAGAAGAGCGGTGGTTAAAGACGGAGAATTTCCGAAGGTCACCGCCAACATGACCAGCAAAGAGATATCGACACAGGTTAATCTCAAGTCGTTTCTGGAAGCATCCCGGCGTGTAACCCGTCTACAATCCGGAGCCATCAGACGAGGGACTTATGGTAGAATTCGGACAAGACTTTCTTCGGAAGGCGAAGAATCGGATGCCTGCTCTGCGGTCGCATCGGACAATACAGTGTCCAGCGAAGGACAACCCCGCGAGTCATTCATGATAAGCGCGGAGGAAGTGGCTAAGATGCTTGAAGATGCCATAGCCAAACAACAAGAAAGCTTCAGGTTCGAGATGCAGATGGCCATGCAGACTATGAGAGAGATGCATGAGCAACAAATCCAGGCATTCAGGAACCAACAAGGTGAACCAAGTCGTCGTAACCAGAACAATCTGGAAGATGAAGACCACACGGATAGGGATGAAGCTCACAATGCCAATAACCCTCCCGTCAATGCGGGGGGTGGCAACGAGGATGCCAACAAAGATACAAGTGAAGACTTGAAGATCAAAAACCTCGAGAGCAAAATCAACACATTGATCTCCGCTCAAGAGGTGAAGAAGACGGGCATTCCTTGTCCATACCCACGAGAATGGGAATCAATCCCCTATCCGGCGAAGTTCAGTCTGATTAACTTTACGCCGTTCGATGGGAAGGGTTCACCCACTCAACATTTGATTTATTTCAAATCGCACCTGGGTATTATCTCCGGCAATGAGCCTCTGATGGTGCGGTCCTTCGTTGGCACTCTTCGCGGAGCCGCCTTCGATTGGTATCGCCGCCTCAAGCCAAGTAGCGTGAACAGCTGGGACGATATGGAGACCATGTTCCTAGCTAACTTCTTCGATGATGACACCGAGATATCCATCGGAACGCTGCTTGACGAGAAGCAGAAAGACGAGGAGTTAGTCGACACCTTCGTCAAAAGGTTCCGGAACAAGGCGATGAATTGCCGGGACCCGATCACCGAGGAGTTCATCCTCCAGACCTGCCATAACAATATGTCCTTGGACGTATTGGAGGCAATGGGAACAGCACCGTCTGACACTTGGAAGGATTTGAAGGTGCGCGGTGAACAAGCCGAACGTTTCCTCCGAAGGAAGAAGGCCGAGAGGAACCTACCGAAGGCTAATCCTCTGGACTCAAACTTTGCCTCTCGTGGTAAGGGCGAAGCACCTGCAGCTACTGGTGGTGCTAATCAAGCGTCACAACAGCAATCCCGAAGGCAGCAAAAGACTTCGGGTCCGAGACTCCAAAGAGAGTATTCCTTCAAGGACGAAGACGTTCCAGCCATCTTCGAATCCCTCCTTGAAGGTAACAAGATCAAGCTACCACCTATCACAAATCAGGAGGAAGCTGACAACACTACGGACCCAAAGTACTGTGCATACCACAGGAGGGTCGTTCATCCCACCAAGGATTGCTTTACTCTCAAGAATAGCATTCAGACCTTGGTTGAAGCCGGCGTCATAACGCTATGGTAAGCCAATTGAGAATGGCATCACTCCAAAGAGTATACGAGTATAAACTGTTTCTCAATCCTCCAACCGGTATAAGAGGTTAAACTACTCCCTGATACTCCAATAGGTATATGAGTCTAAACTGTTTCCCCCCTTTTGACGGGAAGTTCCTGGAGAATATTAAGCTAATATTCTTAAGGATAACCCGGTTAGTTAACTGATAATAATGTCCGAACCAGTTCCGCAGAGGAAACTGGGGGTGGACGATTTATGTAACGGGAAGTTCCCAAAACCACAGCAATGTAATGAATAAGAACTCCCATTCTCACCATGTCTATGCACTCAACACTCTCTCTGTTAGAGTCTGGACGTAAAGTACCCACTTGGTCAAACCTTCTTACAGTTAGGACCACAGTCAAAATCCCCTCTCGATTCCCCCAATGAACGAGAGGTCCACAAATTGAGCGATCAAACCTTCCTACAGTTAGGATTGTCTCAAAACACCCACTTGGTCAAACCTTCTTACAGTTAGGACCACAGTCAAAATCCCCTCTCGATTCCCCCAATGAACGAGAGGTCCACAAATTGAGCGATCAAACCTTCCTACAGTTAGGATTGTCTCAAAACACCCACTTGGTCAAACCTTCTTACAGTTAGGACCACAGTCAAAATCCCCTCTCGATTCCCCCAATGAACGAGAGGTCCACAAATTGAGCGATCAAACCTTCCTACAGTTAGGATTGTCTCAAAACACCCACTTGGTCAAACCTTCTTACAGTTAGGACCACAGTCAAAATCCCCTCTCGATTCCCCCAATGAACGAGAGGTCCACAAATTGAGCGATCAAACCTTCCTACAGTTAGGATTGTCTCAAAACACCCACTTGGTCAAACCTTCTTACAGTTAGGACCACAGTCAAAATCCCCTCTCGATTCCCCCAATGAACGAGAGGTCCACAAATTGAGCGATCAAACCTTCCTACAGTTAGGATTGTCTCAAAACACCCACTTGGTCAAACCTTCTTACAGTTAGGACCACAGTCAAAATCCCCTCTCGATTCCCCCAATGAACGAGAGGTCCACAAATTGAGCGATCAAACCTTCCTACAGTTAGGATTGTCTC